GGTCGGGTGTCCACGACTGGTACTCAGAGGCCTCTTCCTTCAAGTGGTCGTATTTGAATGATTGTCCGCTTCGGGGATCGCAAAAACGATTGGATCCCAAATCATTGAATTCAGTAATCAATGTCTGCTCAACAAATCATAAGACAGTTGTAGTAATGAGAGAGAGAGAGAGAGAGAGAGAGAGAGAGAGAGAGAGAGAGAGTGGGAGTGAGGGTAACCTGAGTTTGGGAAGAGTCGAGTGAGACGGGTGTCAACTGGTCTTTGCTGTATTGCGAGAAAACACTGAAAGTGATAATAGCAATATTGTAATTCATATGATATAAGGCAATGATGGTAAGTGTTGACAGACCCCGAGGCCTGTTCTTTGAGCAGTTGGTCGTTGTTCAAGAGTAGGCGTACGTCTGTGTCGTCAAAGCAATCATATGAGCAATCATTTCATTGTAATTGATATGTAGTGTACATACCATTCACCACTTCCCTGAACTCTCCCGGCGGGGCGTGAAGTATAAAATCGGTGACAATACGGATCTAATCATCACAATTAGTTGAGACTATATTTCACACTATATTTGAGTCAAACCTTTTCGGTGTCAGACAGGGGTTCGTCCAAATCACTGGCCATTGGTTTCAATGAGTGTATCGATTGAAGCGGTGATTGAAATGTGGATTAAATGTAATAACGATTAAAGGGATGATTGTGTGAACGACAGGACACAAGCGCTCACTCTATCAATACGTTTGCATTCAATACAAACACTACAGACAGAGACAGACACTACAGACACGCCTCTGAGGCTCACATACTGATACACCACAATAGAGACCCCTATTGTACACTAGTGTACGCTATAAGGCATTCACTTATAACCCCTTTTGTCCCCTATTTGGTCCCCTTTTAACCCACACTACTTCCCAAACAGATAATATGCACACAATTGATTAGTTAGATGACCATGGTAATATTACATTCAATTGCGCTAATGTAAGCTTATTTTAATTGAACCAAGTTCAATGTGTGGGCATCAGCGATTATTAATGTGGTTTAGTAACAGTATATATGTGTGTGACCCCCATATATATAGCATTATACATATGAATAGCCCTCGGATTGAATGTTTTGATGATTTAATAATCGATATTTTTATACTGTATTTGATTTACTAATTATTGATTGAATGCTATATTTCTATGACTTAATAAACACTTTAATTGTATATAAATTGAATTGAAATGAATAGTGAATGCATTGTATAATAGATTGAATCCATTATTTCTGGTATTAGTATTGCTTTTTGCCGTAAATGTGAGCAAAAAAGCAAACATTTGTTTGTAATTGTATTTAAAGTTAGTGTTAATCGTATGTGAAATCTAGTGAACCATTTGGTGATCAAATGAGATAACGTGTGAAGTAATGGTTGGATCGAGAGATAGGGAGAGGACTCGAGACAGGTTTGTGGCTCAGAAACGATGATATAGTGATGTAATGATTGATTACAGGGAAAGACATGTGAGAGAGCGTGAAGAGAGCCGACACGGGAATGGGTCGAGCCGTACATCTGGTCAGTCACACAGCCGTCACAGTCGACGGGTATGAAAATGAAATGATTTGACAAAAACTCGAGTAATAACTGAGAGATAACTGTTATAATGAATATAAACCCTAAAAACAATGCAATGAGTGTTGAGTGACAGTCAGTGCTAGTGATCGATGAGGACCTCAAACGATCCAAAGAGTCGGCCAGCCTTTGAAGACCACTATATAAATGGATTCATAAAATCTAAACCATTTGTCCCATTGTTTTAGTCGCCCAACAGTTCCGACAGTTATTATAGAACTGATAACACAGACGACAATACCTATGATAATAGTAGAAGACATCGAACTCAAGAGTACGACAGATATGACTCCGACAGAAGTCGTAGTTATCGGAAACGAAGAGATCGGAGCCGAAGCAGAGACAGCAAAGATCGAGACCGCGATCGCGAGTCCGCCTCCACTGCGGGCCCAGACTTTCAATCCAATCGATACTATAATGAAGACAACAATACCTCTAATTATGATTACAATGACTACAATGAGTACAACGATAGAGACAGAGATCGAAGTCATTCGCAAAGAGATAAACGCGAAGAAATCCCTAACAATACTATTATGGTTAGGGGTTTGGCACCACATATAACAGAGAAAGATGTAAATTATATACAATTCTATACATTATTTACAAATTAATATACATTTTATATTATTTAGTAGTGTTTGTATTGAATGCAAACGTATTGATAGAGTGAGCGCTTGTGTCCTGTCGTTCACACAATCATCCCTTTAATCGTTATTACATTTAATCCACATTTCAATCACCGCTTCAATCGATACACTAATTGAAACCAATGGCCAGTGATTTGGACGAACCCCTCTCTGACACCGAAAAGGTTTGACTCAAATATAGTGTGAAATATAGTCTCAACTAATTGTGATGATTAGATCCGTATTGTCACCGATTTTATACTTCACGCCCCGCCGGGAGAGTTCAGGGAAGTGGTCAATGGTATGTACACTACATATCAATTACAATGAAATGATTGCTTATATGATTGCTTTGATGACACAGACGTACGCCTACTCTTGAACAACGACCAACTGCTCAAAGAACAGGCCTCGGGGTCTGTCAACACTTACCATCATTGCCTTATATCATATGATTTACAATCTTGTTATTATGACTTTCAGTGTTTTCTCGCAATACAGCAAAGACCAGTTGACACCCGTCTCACTCGACTCTTCCCAAACTCAGGTTACCCTCACTCTCTCACTCCCACTCTCTCATTACTACAACTGTCTTCTGATTTGTTGACAGACATTGATTACTGAATTCAATGATTTGGGATCCAATCGTTTTTGCGATCCCCGAAGCGGACAATCATTCAAATACGACCACTTGAAGGAAGAGGCCTCTGAGTACCAGTCGTGGACACCCGACCCAANCAGACATTGATTACTGAATTCAATGATTTGGGATCCAATCGTTTTTGCGATCCCCGAAGCGGACAATCATTCAAATACGACCACTTGAAGGAAGAGGCCTCTGAGTACCAGTCGTGGACACCCGACCCAACCAGTGAGCCCTGGAGGTCAGCCTTGGAAGAGGTTTGGAGCAAGTATTGCGCCGATCACTACCACAATGGCATTAGCGCTGTGTTTGGATTCAGTCAAAGCGGACAAATCAGTTTAACCGCTTGTATTGAAGACCATCAGTTCCAGCCTAAGAACTACTGGTATTATATACTTCCTTCCTTTCAAATGGCATTTTACTATTCAATAGTTGTATAAAAACTTACAATCAGTTCATTGTTTTGACATTTCCTTCCTTTCCTATAAAACATTAACATTGTTTTTAAAGACTAATTACTGTGCAATACATTTGTGCTATATATGGATGTATAGGTAGGAGGGGTCGGGTGGGAGTGGGACCCACTTTACCGCTTAATTAGTTACTTTGATTCTCATGTATTGCATGCAAACCTGTAATGTTATGTAATGAGTGGATTGTGTGTTGGCTGTGGTGTAGGAACGGTCGGTGGCGTTCGGTGTGGAGCCTGACCTTCAGTGGTTCGGGTAAAGCGGAGTTGAAGGGGACGATCAAAGTGCAGGTCCACTACTATGAAGACGGGAACGTACAGCTCGTGAGTTGCAAAGAAATCAAAGAACCCATTATTATAAATGTGAGACATTTTGGACACCATTTGAGGCATGAAAATGAAATGTTAATGAAATGAATGCATTTTCAGAGCGAAAGACATGGCATTAGCGCTGTGTTTGGATTCAGTCAAAGCGGACAAATCAGTTTAACCGCTTGTATTGAAGACCATCAGTTCCAGCCTAAGAACTACTGGTATTATATACTTCCTTCCTTTCAAATGGCATTTCACTATTCAATAGTTGTATAAAAACTTACAATCAGTTCATTGTTTTGACATTTCCTTCCTTTCCTATAAAACATTAACATTGTTTTAAAGACTAATTAGTAATTACTGTGCAATACATTTGTGCTATATATGGATGTATAGGTAGGAGGGGTCGGGTGGGACCCACTTTACCGCTTAATTAGTTACTTTGATTCCCATGTATTGCATGCAAACATGTAATGTTATGTAATGAGTGGATTGTGTGTTGGCTGTGGTGTAGGAACGGTCGGTGGCGTTCGGTGTGGAGCCTGAGCTTCAGTGGTTCGGGTAAAGCGGAGTTGAAGGGGACGATCAAAGTGCAGGTCCACTACTATGAAGACGGAAACGTACAGCTCGTGAGTTGCAAAGAAATCAAAGAACCCATTATTATAAATGTGAGACATTTTGGACACCATTTGAGGCATGAAAATGAAATGTTAATGAAATGAATGCATTTTCAGAGCGAAAGACAAGTCGCCGAAGAGATAAGAAATTTAGTGGAAGAGGCGGAGAGGGAGTACCAGACGGCCATCTCAGACAACTACCAGACAATGTCTGACACGACATTCAAAGCGCTGCGAAGACCACTTCCGGTGACCCGATCTAAGATTGAATGGAATAAAATCATGAGTTATCGCATCGGAAATGAGTTGAAACAACACTAACCCTAACATTGCATTTGTTTTGAATTACATCTTAATTCAAATCTGAAATTTATAATATTTAACACTCATTACAAAAGCAAAGTTAATAATAATTAAAACATTTTATTATTTTTAAACAAAACTTATTTGACATAAATATATGTAAAACTAAAGCGAATATCAATTAAATTATGACTACTTTTACAACTAAATAAGCACTATATCTCTGGAACCGCTCATCAGATGCCGTCTGATTGCACTGTAGGGCAAGAAGTGTTGGGAATCCTTCTCCAAAGTAGTGGACACTTCACCGCCGGAACTGTCGACCAGTACTTGAGTGTCTCTCACAGCCTTCACGAAGACATAGGTATTGTTGTATTGGATGTGTTGAGCGTTTGGCACATCAACCGACTTGAAAGTCATGATCGATGTCCTGTTGAACGGCAAACGACCCAAAACTGATTCATTGAGATAGTGGTCCACTCCAGACACGTAATTGTCTAAGTATTTGATCTCATTGTTGGACAACAACTTCTCGACGGTCTGTCTCTTCGTGCGTAAGGCGTGTATCAAAGAGCGGGCGTTCACTTCAATCTTGTCGAGTCGGCTCCGGAAGTACTGGTGTGTGGCGTAACTCATTCTCTCCAACTCTGTCGTGTGCTGTTCGACACACAACTGATCCAATTTCGAGGACAATCGCCGCAGATTGTCAGACATGTGTTGGATCTGTTCCACAATGCAGTCGATCACCGACTCTTCGTATGGCAACACTTCTGGACTCTCCATCTGATTGTTGATGAGTTCAATGAGACGAATGTAAACCTCTTTCGGTGTCTCGTAATTGTCGTAATCATTGGTTTGGTTCGCATCCGAAGACATGGCAGACATCACAGCAATTGTCACACAAACCACACAAACACGAGAATTGCGCTCAAAATCACTACAACTTTCAACACTTGTTTCAATTTTTTATCGCTTATTTGCATTCATTTGACGCTATTTTGTCAACAAATTCTTTCCAATATTTGTCCCTAAGTTTGACGTTATTTACTGACACTTATTATTGCCTATAATATCATTGCATTGACTGGTCGTTAGTTTTCAGAAGTGATGCCAACCTCTCAATAACTCCTATATAATCATTAATGGCCTTCACTTTATGTTCTATAATATAATAAACATGTGTTGCAGTGAAGTATATAAGAAATGATATGAAGCAATAGGTTGTGAACGCCTGTGATTACGTAAATGATATGATATCTAATGTAAACATAAACAATGTTTCAATGCTATCATAACCTATCAATTGTGAGATTATTGGCAATACTTGTCCACAAAAAGTGGTCACCATTTGAGACAATAGTCGAGTATTACATGTGATTTGATTGGACGAAGACAGCGAAGACAATCAGAAGACAATGGCATCACTATATCGACTGAGAGTGGCTTTAAATGCATTGAATTGTCGTAAAAATGAATTATTATCACAAAAGTTGCGGTCAATTGAATATAAATTTGCATATAATTTGAGTTCAAATGAAAACATTTTACACACAATTCGTGTGAAAGAAGAGATCGAAAGGAGGAGACAATCGAGTCTTTTAGGCGGAGGCGTCGACCGAATCGATGCCCAACACAAGAAGGTCACCACTCTTTGCCCAATCAGCCAATCATTGTCTCACATTATTCTCACATTTTAGGGCAAATTGACGGCCAGAGAAAGAATCGACTTATTATTAGATCCCAAGAGTTTCATTGAATACGATATGTTTGTTGAGCACAAGTGCACTGACTTCGGGATGGAGGACATGAAGGTATGCGTCCATACTTTGTTGGTTACACCCAATCCATGGATGAACTGTTAATGTCCTGTACTTTATGTCTAGTATTCGGGGGACAGTGTAGTGACCGGACACGGACTCATTGATGGCCGCAAAGTGTTTGTCTTCAGTCAGGACTTTACTGTATTCGGTGGCAGTTTGTCCAGCGCTCACGCCATGAAGATTTGCAAAGTTTGTCATCACTTTATCTGTTTATAACCAATCGAAATGAAAATTGGTAATTTTAAAAATTAGATTTTCTAAACTAAATTAAACGGGATTTTCAAAATTGTTGTTTTAATTTGAAATACTGTTTATTGGTCTACAAAACCGTGCCATTCATTTGTTTGCATGTCTTGTCGTTCGGGAGTAATTCTCACCCGAAGAAGTGCACTCCCAAAATAGCTTTGGCAATGTTATTCAATGGCAATAAATATATTTAAAAAATAAATGTGATGAAATTTTTTAATTAACTGGATCAATTGTTATAATTTATATCTAATTGTTATTTGCTTTATCTGATCTTCATACAAAAACACTTTACAGCATTTAATTATCTCTTTTTAAAAAAGTGCCATGGTCATTGTGCCAAAGCTATTTCGGGTGTGAACGTCTTCGGGAGAGGATTACTCCTAAACCACAAGACAGACAGACAAATGAATGGCAGTGTTTTGTAGACCAATAAACAGTATTTCAAATTAAAACAACAATTTTGAAAATCCCGTTTAATTTAGTTTAGAAAATCTAATTTTTGAAAATTACCAATTTTCATTTCGATTGGTTAGTTAATGATTACCATTATCTTAGATCATGGATCAAGCCGTTCAAGTGGGCGCCCCTGTCATCGGAATCAATGATTCAGGTCTTAATGCAAACACTGGTATTGAATGAAATGAATAAATATATTGAAATGACTGACAGGAGGCGCACGTATTCAGGAAGGGGTTGACTCTCTGGCCGGTTATGCGGATATATTCTTACGCAATGTTCAGTCATCAGGAGTTGTGCCGCAAATATCGGTGATAATGGGTCCGTGCGCTGGAGGCGCTGTCTATTCACCAGCTCTGACCGACTTTGTGTTTATGGTTAGAGACACGTCCTATCTGTTCATCACTGGTCCCGATGTCGTCAAAGTAAGGCCAACACTATTATCATTGAATTGAATGCCATTACAATCCATTTAAAAGGCCGTAACCAACGAAGACGTTACTCAAGAAGAATTGGGAGGCGCTAAGACTCACACATCGGTGTCAGGTGTGGCGCACAGAGCTTTCGACAACGACGTCGATATGATTTTACAGATCAGAAAGTTCTATAGCTTTCTTCCCCTCTCAAGCGAATACCCGTCTCCTATTAGGAAATCACACGACAAATGGTTTGATAACTGAATTAAATCTAATGATAATTGAATACAAGAATGATTGTTCAATTGAATACTTTAGGGATAGAATTGTTGAGAGTTTGGATACAGTGGTGCCGTTGGAATCTACCTCTGCTTACAATATGTTGGATATTGTGTTAGCTGTAAGTCTAACGTGACATTAATTCAAACGTTATATTAAATCTTATGTAATTGTCAATAGATTGTCGACGAGAATGACTTCTTCGAGATAATGCCCGACTATTCAAAGAATCTCTTAATAGGTTTCGCCCGAATGAATGGCGAAACTGTTGGAATCGTTGGCAATAATCCCAAATACGCGGCCGGTATTGAATCGATTTAACTATAATACTGTATAATTGTATAATTAATAGTGTATTGAATGGTTGTTAGGATGTCTTGATATGAATTCATCGGTAAAAGGGGCGCGTTTTGTGCGCTTTTGCGATGCTTTCAATATCCCAATCATTACATTCGTTGACGTTCCCGGTATGTCATCTCAACACCATTACACTCATCGCAGTAATCATAATGCTTTTGTATCAACAGGTTTTCTACCAGGTACAAATCAAGAATATGCTGGAATCATTAGGTATAGTCTAGACTGATATTGAAATTTAATCAATTATTGTAAATGGTGTGTATTGTCAGACACGGGGCCAAACTGTTGTACGCGTTCGCTGAGGCAAATGTACCCAAAATAACAGTAATCACTCGCAAAGCCTATGGCGGCGCTTACGATGTGATGAGCTCTAAACACCTGAAGGCGGACGTCAACTACGCCTGGCCTACGGCTGAGATCGCAGTGATGGGCGCGAAGGGCGCCGTCTCTATACTCTATAGGGGAAAGGCTGACACTGAACTCTATGAACGACAATACATCGACAAGTTTGGCAATCCATTCCCCGCCGCCATCAGAGGTAACCCTTCCACACCTATTCATGCAATTCATTACACATAACACTAACTATGCATAGGTTTTGTGGACGATATCATTGACCCGAGGACTACAAGAATGAGAATTTGTCACGATTTGAATCTCTTGAGAAACAAAAAGGTCTCAAAACCGTACAAAAAACACGGAAATATTCCCCTTTAATGGCCGCTAATGTTTGGCCAAATAGTTGTTATTTTGTTATATTAATCACGATTTACTGCCATTTGTTATGAAATAATGAATAAATGAATTTATTAATGGGTTTTTGTTTCAAACAATTACTGGTAATACAACTCAAGATTCATGCCGTCGTGAATCTCATAGTCTTCGAGAGTGATGTGATCTTTATATATAGTGTACCACTTCTTGAGCACTATTTTCTCCCAATGAGTGCCGGTTTGGGCGGCGATTAACTTCTTGAGATCGCCGATCGTGTCATCTGTCAAGCAATTCAAATGGACGTCAATTTCAATGTACAGTCAATTCAGTGTTGATTCAAACCTGCATTGCATTTAATCCGCACTTTTTTGCCCAAACGATCATTACATGTGATTTCAATCATGTTTTTGTTAGTTTGTGATAGCAGTCAATACAATCAATACATTCAACACAACTAAACGTTTATTAATTATTTACAAATACAACACAAGACTAGTGTTCGCGAAAGCGACTTACCTACAGATTTCTAGGTCGCACGTAATGTGCCCGGGTAACTATTACGGCCCGATTACCTCCCAAAAAGCTCACTCATCAGATGGCGTGTGTATAGTCATCGATGAGTCTCTGATATCAGTGCTCAATATTTGTCATTCATATAGTATGTCATTTAAATTGGTTTATTTTTATTTGAAATGTAAAATCAATTAGGCCGGTGCAGGAGATAAACAATTCATTTATTAATATTTAATACAATTGAGATCATGTATAGCACAACCCTCGCTATCACTGGCCTTAGAGGCGCTGGATAACTCGGTTTGATGCTTGAAACCTATTAATTAATAGAGAGTACTAAATATGCTTATTGTTGATCCAATAGTGAACAGTTTTCCTGAATTGTAATTTAATAGCCGATCATACAATTCAATTGTTTCATGAGACACATGTTCGTAATCAGTACTTATCAAATCTGAATCTCAATATCTCAGAACCAATTAAAATGCCAAATAGTGATATATTGACACAAATTTGATAGAAAATCTATTTGTGCAATAATCACAGGCAAATGCATTCTCATTGGCAGTTAAGAGAAGTGATGTATTTTCAGTAAATGTAGTCTTTAAATCGTAATACATTTTTATTACATCTGATATAACGGTGCGGTCCTTTTCTATTAATACAATACCTTAAATGTAAATAATAACAAATTAATTAGTATATTACAACTATAAGGCCGGTGCCCATGAGGCCAGCGCCGGAGATATATAATTCATTTATTAATAGTTAATACAACTGAGATCAAGTATAGCACAACCCTATGTATCACTGGCCTCACGGGCGCTGACAGTTCGAGTGTGACGCCTGATCACTATATAAAGATCTATTTATCTCTGAGGCCACTATCCAATACTATATACCATTAATTAGATGTCCAGTTAACACATTTCCCAAACCAAACTAATACTTATTTATGACAACACGAGTTTGCCATTCAATCACATATTAAACCACTTGTCAGACATATTGGATCGCTTAAGCATTGATGCCCTCATAGACTAAAACTTTCAAAAAATCTAGAGAGACAACCAAAACACTCACATCTATTAACTCTATGTCAAAACACGCGTTGCAAAGTACAGAATACTGTGATATTACTCTCATTTATATATATGTCATTGTTTTCCCACAAATCATACTTTTGTACTTATAAATGACTTAAAGGTCGTCATCAATTAATTACGTAATAACGACCGTAATTTTTGAACGTGCCTTACCTTCCGTGAACGCTACACAAGACGACTGTTTGTGTGATAAACCAATAGAAATGGCTTTTCTAAAGTGAGCGCCCATTCATTTAGTGCCCAATAGACATGAGTTGCATATATTGGCTGAACGTACAAATCAAACACATGTCTCATCAATATTTCAATTATTCTTTAAATTAGTGTTAAATATAATGACACCCAAAACAACACTAATTATAATTAACAAAATAATGTGTAATTGAAGCGTGAGGTAAGACCCGGTAAACAGATAACTCATCATTTCATTAATAAACATGTATTCAATGGGCAAATATTGGGCACAAATTTGCTGGCGTTTAAAAAGATGTGTTGTTTTCACATTTGACAATATAATCATGTGATGTAAATGTTAAGCAATGCAATACATGTTTTGGGGCCACAATTAGGTGACAATAGATGGCGGAGACATGTATTGAGTGAATGACGTATTGTTGACATATAATGAGGAAATATAGTGTGAATTGTTGTGAAAACTAATCGCAAATTCATTGAAATCTGGTTTTAAGACTCGTTTGGATTCAATGTTACGATTAAACCGTTTCTTCATTTCAAGACATTTGAGTCAATTGTCAAATGTTTGGATGAAAAGTAGTTATTATTACAGCTCTGAACCTCCGGACAAGTCATACACTTTGGGTCGCATTCCCGCACCCGAGCGGACCCGCAGTCCGGCCATTGACTCGACCGACACCTTCTTGAGGGCCACTAACCATGAGATGAGTCTCTTTGGTCCGCACGACTTGAGGGCTCCACTCAATGGCAATATTGGACTCACTTTCGAGGAATCGACATATGATTTGCCAAATGAACAGTTGATTCAATTCATGAGACAAATCAATACTTTAAACCCTAAACTCGCAGTCATTGAGACCACAGATATAGACATCGATTTGTTTTTGTCCAACAGTTATAAGAGTCGGTGCCATAAGTTCTTCCGAATCCTCAAATACCAGTCACTTGTGGCCCAAGACATGGCTTCTGAGGCCCACACATGGGATGGCGTCGACTGCAGTGCACATAATCTCACGACTCAAGTGATCAAAAAGTTTGCGAATTTGTTCCCAAAAAGTAAACGACAAGAACTGAGCGCTGGTTTGACTGCAATCACAATGAGTCAGAAGACAGTTAACGATATGAGCGGCTATTCCGAGGCCATCGAACTCGAGAGGGAAGACTTCTTCGAGAAGTTTGTATTGAACGCAAAGACCGTTTGTCAAGAGCTCAGAGACAATGGCTTTTGGGCCGACTTTATTGATCCATATTCTGGACAACCATTTCTGGTATGTATTTGAGGACTCATTGAATTGATTTGAATGCAATGATTGATTATGTGTTGCATAGAGTGAACACACGAATGAGACACTGTTTGAAACGGACGACCGGTTTATTCATTTGGGATTTACGATCGAAGACCTCGGATGTTGTAAAGCTATTTATCACCACAAATGGGGTACTCATGTCATTGTGGGCACACTCTTCACAACCGCGCCCTCAGACTCTCCGGCGCTCATCAAACTTATGCCACAATCGTTTGATTCAACCAATAAGTAGTCAATAGTTGTTATACAAAGTCTGTTTAAACAAAATTAATTAATTATTATTGAAAAATATTATATTATAAGTGCTTTTAATAACGAGAAAATAGTATTTTCAAGAATTAATTGCAAATAAATATTAATGTGTTTTGTTAACAATTATTTAATTTGATGGGCTATTGAGCCCTTCATTAGAGTACATAAATCATTTTTAAAAAATAATTAGTATTTTTCAGCCATTATTAGTACAATAAGTGCTGACCAACCGGTGAAGGGATGAGATCCCTGTCCTTTGCCGGTCATATCGTTATACTGTTCCCAAACGTAACCACTTCTGGCATATTCTGTAAACACAGTTGAGATGAGGTTTTGTCGCAAACGCTGATATATAGCGAGGGCTCGACTCTGATAGGGGCCAGCAGTGGACGAGTAGTGGTGTAATGACTTGAGGATCAAATAGTTCATATTGAGCCATACGGCGCCCCTCCAGTACGGGGGGTCCACTTCGGTGTTGTGCTGACCATAATATGGTGAGGAACGAGACAGCGATCGGATTCCATATGAACTCCAAATGAGTTTAGGATTTTCTAAATCGTCTAAAACTTTAGCCAATTTAGGATTTTTGGTCTCAATTAGAGTCAACATAAATGGAAAGAGAGAGACATAACCCAACTCTGGGACGCAGTCGAAAGCGGGAGGAGTGACTTCTGTCCTCACTTTCACGAACCCATTATCCGATTTGTTGCGAACTTTAATGAGTTTGACTTGTGTTGAGTGCAACCCTTTGTCGCAATACATGTTGTGTTTGTCAGACCAGTGAAGAGAATCCAATAACTGGTTATCACTTAAATATTTGGCCGTTTCTTCGTATCGTTGGGCGAAAGACTTGTCGACCAATTTGGCTATTTTTGACATCACTTGTGATGCAAATGCAACCCAAGACCTGAGATCTAAATGCATTTCATCATCGGTTGGATGTGTTGCGCGCGGATAATCGTCCAAACCTGATGTCAATGTTTTCGGATTTAACTCTGTTATACTGTTTGGATCCCTTCCTCTCCACCGATAAGTGCTCGATATTTGTCCGGTTTGTGAACTGTTATACCAGTTATACCAGAGTTGGAGTCGAGGAAATACTTTATGCAACCATTTTATGTCAACGTTTCCGTTATTCAACAGTTTATCGATGGCCAGGAAAAGTGCCGGTGGATTGGCGTTAGTAGTCTTCTGGTTGACAAACTCTTTGGGAACTCTGGCCTCAGCCTCTCCTCCGAGTATCACTTCCCTCGGAATCCAACCCTCGCTATTCATAAGACTCAACCAGCTTTCGATCATAACCTCTGATAACTCGCGATCCCATTCACCGATCAGTAACTGATGAAAGCCTTCGTCCCAAAGGAAACCTCTGGGAAAGAACGAACGCGAAGGCACTCCTGTCANCAATTAAATGAGTAGTCATTCACTCATTCATAGCATGAATGCAATCGACAGTCAATTGAGTGCTATATTTGTGCCATATTTTCGTTAGACGTCACAAATGGGGGCCAATTCTCACAACACATACCATTCAAAGTACAGTCAAAACCACTAACACTGTTTAAAGGGGGCAACACTTGTGTCACGTGTTATGTGAACGGCTCTGTCCTACTCTACAACCAGTTGTGTAACACAAGTTGTGTTGAGCGCATCAAACATACAATACCTGTCTCTACCTTACAATACCAATACCTGTCCACCCGTTCCCTCACTTCCCATCACTTCCCCATCGCTTCCCAATCCATAACCTCTATTCGGACCACACATTGATGGCTGAGAGATGCGGTCGACTGCAGCGCCTCCTCTAACCCCCAATCGTTGACTGCTTTGCTTTGAACGAGAGATGATTGCAATGATATGTTAGACAAGAGTTAAGCAGAAGATTGTATTGAAATTAAAATAATCGGATTAATTGAATGAGTTATGAATAGAGCGCTCATATGATTGCCATATATTTGGTTTTAATGATAGTTAACTATTAATAACAACTAAATTAAGTTTGAATTACTGTTATGTGGTTTAGTAGGGAAGCGGAACTACAAAGAGTGTTTGGCTAAATGCTAACAAATGTAGGAATGAACAAATTGTTACAATTGTAACTACAATACAATATATTTAAAAAGTTGTTCATATTATGAGATGTGAAATAAGCCGTAATATTATTGTTATGTTTAATTTGCAAACATTTAATGATTAATCGGTAAACCGTTTTAGACGTGAATCTATTGTTTAGAGTAACGTTGTTTATGAAGGGCTCAACACATATGCCGTCACTTTTGATTGTATTTAATGTAATGTAAACTAAAAGTTAGAAATTATTTAAATATTTAATAAATGAATTAAAACTATAATCAAAACAAAATGTCAAAAGTTTTGCGACGAAAAGGCATTTCAAACGACAAGAATGTCTATCAGAGGAGTGAAGGGAAGAACAGCGGCAAAGAGAGCTCAAGTGGTTCCAGCGGTTCCAGTGGTTCCCATACGAAGTCATTTGGCAAACCATTGACTACTTTATTGATATCATTGATGTGTTTGTGTTTTATAGCATTAATCACACATTCATTATATAAAAGGCATTTATTTAACAAAACATTCAAACCTTTGGAAACGAAAATCGCAAACAATTCAATAATTAGTGGCAAAAATTGGGGCTCTTTTCGAAGCGGCCATTACTTCGGCCTCAAGACATGTGGTCCACAATCGATGGTCACTGGAATGATGTGGTTCTGGAACCGCATTGAAGGACATACACTACCAGTGAGGCATTGGTGCGATCAAAATGATAGGTTAGGCCGCTATGGCTGGACTCGACATGACTTCCACTCCTTCGGCATTCAAGAGATTGTCGACCAGAATGTGGTCTTTGAGACCAGTTTTATAAAGTTATCGCATAATAGTTGGAAAGCGAGGATTGAGGCCAAACCCAAGTACACGGAACAGTCGACATCCATGCCATCGGTTCCAATATCACTCATCTTCTATGCGGCCACACAAACAGCTGAAGATCGCCTTCAAGTGATGCCATTTAACGCAGACCTCAAACCCAACTCTAATTTCCAAATCGAAGGCCATTCACAAGATTTGGGAGACTTTCGGATGACTTTAAAGGTTTCCAAGAATAAGGCAAACGTGTTGTTCAGGAACTACTTGAATACGGTTTCAAATCCTCCTTTAGTTAACCTCAAAGAAAGTTTACTCAATAATTTAGTTCTGTTTGATATCAATGACATGAATAGAAATCCCATATTTGTTGTTAACGGCGACTCTTTCGACAAAAGGGATCAAATAAATAGCGCTAACTTTGTTGCCCATCAGATTGTCTTCTCATCTGCCGTCCAACTGGACATTGAGTTTCAGACACTTAGTGCCCAATCAAACACTGAATCCAATGATCAGTCGGTGAATATTGATTCGTATAGAAATGAATTGGAGAAAAGAACTCTTCAGTTCGACAAAGACTTTGAGCTTAAGTTTGGTTTAGAGGAGAAAAAATTTAGTCAAAATGAGATCTCTTTCGCGAAAGCAATTGTTAGCAATGTTTTGGGAAGTATTGGCTGTTTTAACGGATATTCATCGGTACAGTCGGACCCAACAGAAGAACCGGTGGCTTACGGACCGCTGCAGCTGTTGACAGGAGTGCCTTCGCGTTCGTTCTTTCCCAGAGGTTTCCTTTGGGACGAAGGCTTTCATCAGTTACTGATCGGTGAATGGGATCGCGAGTTATCAGAGGTTATGATCGAAAGCTGGTTGAGTCTTATGAATAGCGAGGGTTGGATTCCGAGGGAAGTGATACTCGGAGGAGAGGCTGAGGCCAGAGTTCCCAAAGAGTTTGTCAACCAGAAGACTACTAACGCCAATCCACCGGCACTTTTCCTGGCCATCGATAAACTGTTAAGGGTTGGATTCCGAGGGAAGTGATACTCGGAGGAGAGGCTGAGGCCAGAGTTCCCAAAGAGTTTGTCAACCAGAAGACTACTAACGCCAATCCACCGGCACTTTTCCTGGCCATCGATAAACTGTTAAATAACGGAAACGTTGACATAAAATGGTTGCATAAAGTGTTTCCTCGACTCCAACTCTGGTATAACTGGTATAACAGTTCACAAACCGGACAAATATCCAGCACTTATCGGTGGAGAGGAAGGGATCCAAACAGTATAACAGAGTTAAACCCGAAAACATTGACATCAGGTTTGGACGATTATCCGCGCGCAACACATCCAACCGATGATGAAATGCATTTAGATCTCAGGTCTTGGGTTGCATTCGCATCACAAGTGATGTCAAAAATAGCCAAATTGGTCGACAAGTCTTTCGCCCAACGATACGAAGAAACGGCCAAATATTTAAGTGATAACCAGTTATTGGATTCTCTTCACTGGTCTGATAAACACAATATGTATTGCGACAAAGGGTTGCACTCAACACAAGTCAAACTCATTAAAGTTCGCAACAAATCGGATAATGGGTTCGTGAAAGTGAGGACAGAAGTCACTCCTCCCGCTTTCGATTGCGTCCCAGAGTTAGGTTATGTCTCTCTCTTTCCATTTATGTTGACTCTAATTGAGACCAAAAACCCTAAATTGGCTAAAGTTTTAGACGATTTGGAAAATCCTAAACTCATTTGGAGTTCGTATGGAATCCGATCGCTGTCTCGTTCCTCACCATATTATGGTCAGCACAACACCGAAGTGGACCCCCCGTACTGGAGGGGCGCCGTATGGCTCAATATGAACTATTTGATCCTCAAGTCATTACACCATTACTCGTCCACTGCTGGCCCCTATCAGAGCCGAGC